AATATTACTAACTTCTTCAAGAAAAATTAAATTGAGCTTAGGAATTTGAATCATAGCAAAAATAAAAAATAAAATCCTTATAATGAAGCCATACGTTAATTCAATTTGTACTTTCATGGAGAATAAAATTTTTATAATATAGATGTCCGATATTTTTCAATACGAAAACTGAAAAAAATTATGAAAATTTAAATTATACAGTATAAAACGTAAGAGTATTAGGTGACTAGAAAAGAAAAACGAGTTTTATTTTAGAATATAAAAGAAAATAAACAAAGAAAAACGGACGGAGAGAGTATTAAATCCTTTTTCCGATAATATTAAATATATGAATCTATTTGACATGGTATAAGTTCCGAAAATATTAAGGGTATAAGTTCCTAAAATTAAATGGAATTAGGATAAGGACAACTTGTTAATACCAAAGAAAGCTAGGGGCAAATTGAGTATAGCATTAGCCAGCAGTGTTGAATATACTATAAGCTAGTGAGTGATATTTATTTATAAATAACAGCCAAAGAAGACTTGGTTGGCTTCTTATGTTCTTCCTTGTGCTAGCAAAAGGGCAAAAAAAAAAAAAAAAAAAGAAACCTTAAGCACCAGAAATGAAGGAGAAATTCCTGGTTTTTGTCTTCCTCTAGCTACAAGAAAATCCCAAGTTTTTCTTGTTGGGGGGTTTTTGTTTTTTATTTATAAAAATAAACAAACAAACCTTTTCTGCTTTTGGTGAGATGAGCAGCAAGAACTAGGAATAAAAGAGAGAAAGAAACAAGAGAGTCATTTGGAAGGAAGAGAAAGAAAGACAAAAAGTTGGGTTATTTTTTTTTTATCTGTTTGCTTTATCTTCAATGTCAAACATTACAGCAGGTGATGGAGGGAGCTTATCTTCAGGCAACACTGCTGGAGAAGAAGTTCATCAACAACAACAACAGCAGCAGCAGCAGCAACAGCAACAAGAGCAAGTGAATCACTTTCATGGTTTAAACTCTTTGCCTTCTTCAACTAACAGCAATGGCTCCACCACTACTCCACAGGAGCAACCTCCACCAGCTAAGAAGAAGAGAAACCTTCCAGGAACTCCTGGTAAAATGAACTGGCTCTTTCATTAGCTACTTACTTATTTGTTTTTCTGGGCATCATTTCTTTGATTAAACAAACTTTATTTTAAAGATTTTGTTGTGTTAAAATTAACAGGGTCATTGAAGTAGAGAATTGAAGAAAGATTTTTTTGTTTACTGCTTTGAGTTTGAGTTCGTTACATCAGTAATTCAATGTCTTTTTTCTCTGATTCATCTTATGGCTTATAGACTACTTGGTATCAGTCAACAGAGTTCTCAAAATGTAAGCATATGAATTTTTACCTACTCAACTAAGTTATCTTGGCTTTACATGCCGGATTTAGAAAGTTTTGGACATGTTCTTGCATATGCCTGCATATATATATATATATATATATATATTGGATCAAAACAAAAGGGAAAACCTTCTGCAGGCAGCTGATTTAATTCATTAGGGCTGTTATGAAGAAGATTTTCTGTATTGTTTTGAGTAGGAAGAAAGGTTTTGGAGCCAATCTGGGTCAGAAAAATGGTGAATTATTGAAGTTTTAAGTTGTTGAAAGGGGTTTCAATTATTGGTTGGGTATCACAATCATTGCAGAGCAAACTGTTGGCCTTGCCCTCACTCCTTTATTTTTTTTTCCTTTGTTTTGTTTTTTAACTGTTTCAAGTAAAGGAATCACATATCCCGGCTAATGGAATATCTGTACTGTCCTCTCTCTCTCTCCCTCTTTCTTTCGTTTTTTCTCTTTTCTTTCTTTCTTTCTCTCGCCCTTTTCACATTTCATATTGATCTAATCACTCCAGTCTCTTAACTGTTTATGTTATTTTATTTAAGATGGCAGTCAGTTGAATGGTAGTCAAGTAAGTAAAAGGACCCAAAAATTTGGTTCTTCCAACGAAATTGAAGATATTAACTGTGGAAAATGAACAATATAATGCTCTTTAATTCCCAAAGATTATTTCCAAGTAAATTGGTTTTCCGAAACTTTTGAAAGTTAAGAGCACTAAAGGTTTAGAATAACAGAAAAATGCTATGGCAAAAAGTGAATGATGACATGTCTTTGCATGGGCTTTTATGTGTGCAGATCCCAATGCAGAAGTCATTGCTCTATCGCCAAAGACCCTTTTGGCCACAAACCGTTTTGTATGTGAAATCTGCAACAAAGGATTCCAAAGGGACCAAAACCTTCAACTTCACCGGCGAGGACATAACCTGCCGTGGAAGCTTAGGCAAAGGACAAGCACTGAAATCCGGAAGCGGGTCTATGTCTGCCCTGAACCTTCATGCGTGCACCATAACCCGGCTCGAGCTCTAGGCGACCTGACGGGGATCAAGAAGCATTTCTGTCGAAAACATGGAGAGAAGAAATGGAAATGCGACAAGTGCTCCAAGAAATATGCTGTGCAATCTGATTGGAAAGCTCATTCAAAGACATGTGGCACCAAGGAATATAAATGTGACTGTGGCACCATTTTCTCCAGGTTTATCCATCTATATTTATCCACCTTTGAACAGGACTCTATAACAGCAACTTGTCACTATAAAGATTTAAAAAAAAGTTTTGATTCAATGTCTAGAACGCCCTGTAAGAGTAGTTGGCTGTGCATGCATGAACTAAGACTTGAAATCAATGGCGTTATCTTTGATAGAAAAAGATGATTGGAACAATCAGATTGCTTCAGAGTATATTATTTTTGGGTCGATGGCAGCAAGTTTAGTTAATTTCCTCAATACCCACTTGCTAGCTTTGCTTAAAGTCTTTGTTTGACCACAGATTCTGCATGAAATTGTTATTTTACTATAAAGTCCTAGTCCCCCTTCTTGTGGTCCAAGCAATTGAATAATGGACCCTTTTCTCAATAATTGTTCTTTCTCTGAAGATTATTAAGTGATTAACTAATCAGATTGTTTATCATTATTTTTATTTTTTATTTTTTTTGCAGAAGAGACAGTTTTATTACCCACAGAGCTTTCTGTGATGCCCTAACTGAAGAAAACAACAAAGCAAACCAAGGACTTGTACCCAACGTGGGATCCAACTTACAAGCCCAAGTCACTGAGCTTATTCCTGCAATTCCCATCAACAACAACCCCAACACATCTGCCATGAATATTTCTGATCCGTTCAGCCATGACACGAAAAGCCCTTTACAGCCCTTAAGCATGGCAGGAAGCATGTTCTCCAACAATCCTGGAAACCTGTTTGGTGAAGAGAAAAGTAATGTTTCCAATCCTTCCCCCTCTTGCCTGCAACTCAATGCGAATAATTCGTCGACATTATTCGAAGGAAACGGGCACCTGTTTTCTGGCTCAGCCTCCATGTCTGCCACTGCATTGTTACAGAAAGCAGCTCAAATGGGTGCAACTGCTACTACTGGTAGCCTAAACTCTCCCTTGATGGGGAAAAGTTTCACTACAAGCATGGCGCCACCATCATTTGTTTCAATGCAAACTCCTCAGAGTAATCAACCACAAATGCTAGGAGCTGATGCTGGATTCACCAACCAGTTCATGCAGAAGAGCCAACAAGAAATACGGTCAGATCAGTTTTTCAATGCTAATGGAGGGGTTGACCATCAAAGTTCAGCTGTGAACAATATGGGGATGTTTTCAGGGGTTTTTGATCAAAACAATGCGTTGTTGAAGAGTATAGAGAACGATCAGCGCGGTGCGAGTTCAAATTCAGGGTTGAGTACCCCAAGAAGTGGTGGAGCAAACCCTTCTGGTCTGTCAGGCTTTGGTGGGGATATGATGACTGTTGATTTCTTGGGAATCGGGGGATCGAGACCCAGGAATCTGCTTGAAAAACAGCATCATCATCATCATCAACCACTGCAAGATCATTTGGAGTTTGGAGGTATTGCTCAGGCTAGACTGCAAGGCTTGAGCCATTTTCAGCAACATGCAGCTTTGGAGAAACCAATGTGGAAAGTTTAAAATTAGAAGTAGCTAGCTAGCTCAATAATAGAACTCCTTGCTAAAACTTCTTCTATTGCTTTTTCCTTTTCCCTCTCTTTATTTTTAGCCATGGATTAATATTTAAGAAAGTGATCTTGCTAAAAAGCAAGCAATTGAGCATTTTGGCTAAATTTCAAGCAATTTAATTAACCTTCCAATAATTGGTACAAGTTACCATTTCGTTCAAAAATTAAGTAATTATTATCTTAAAAATTAATTATTAAAATATGTAACATCGATATCTATAATATTAAAACTATCTTTATAAGATTATTTTGCAATTTCGTAATTTTTTTTATATGAATGTACTATACCTTTGTTGCAAGTCAAGTTATTTTTATCTATTTCATCTTTTAAAAGGCTTGACATGACATCGAAATCAAATTTAAATTGATTTTAATATATATCATTTTATAACGAGATTATTATTTTTTACAAAAAATTAACTTATTGAGATTTGTAACATTAATGTTTATAAATCTAAAACCTCTCTTTTACTTAACCGGTGTGAAATTCCCTTAAGATTTGTACACTACTAATTATCTCAAAGAGTAATTATATCATTGTCACGCATGATTTGCATTAAAATTTTTCCCTAAGACATTGGTCGAAAAGAAAAGAAAGAAAACCTTTTACGTTTTGCCTTTATAATCATTGCTCTAAGCTTTTTCATTTCCCTTTTTCTTTTTTTTTTTAATACGTGCACGGTCACACAATACTCTTTTTCTTTTCTCTTTTTCTCCCTCGATGGATGAACCATCGACTCGTCGTCCTCGTGCCATGGTGCGAGCAACATGCTTGCACAGCTTCGGCCCGTGTAACAACCATCAAGCCTAAGTTAACAGATCAAAAAAAGGCCCCCAAAAGGGAAAACAATGGCCTTTTCTAGATTTGTGGCTCTGAGTACCTAATGAAACCACAGATAATGAGAGCCACCAGAACTGGATAAGCATCATCAAGAAAAGCTGGCCAAAACCCAAAATTTTTATGCGTGATTAGTCATTAAGAAACCAATGAAAAATGCAAAACTTACACAAACATTTATGAAAACCAAAAGCACCTAAATTGGACCGTCCGTGCCTTGGAACTTGTATCCATAATAAGCTATAGTTCCAATACCACCCAAGCAAAAGTGCGGAAATGGCATTGCAGCAGTACCTTCATCCATGCAAATATGTGTCTCTGAACAGAATTTACATGACGCAGTCATCCAACAATGGCCACAAGGAGAGTTTCCAAGAGGTGACGACGAGGCAAGGAAAGTCCCCGGCGGAGGAATTCGCACCGCTTGCGACAACATTCAGGCGGCGCCTACTTGTTGGTGTTGGTTCAGCTTCTCTAGTGGCTGTCGGTGCAAATTTTGGTGGCTTAACTAGTTTTCTTCTGGGGTTATCACCAGAGGGTGGTCGAAACTTGAAGCTGGATGTGCTTTATCCAATTGAAGGATTTAGTCGTCGCATTGAAAATAATGAAGGATTTGGTTAGTAAGTCCTATTACTTGGCTTCCTTGACAACTTTATTTTTTAAATTTTGAGATAAGATGATGAATATATCATAGTATCATAATCGTATAAACATTGAAATGTTCCAACAATGTCGGACAGAAACAATTGAAATCAAATGAAAGTTCGTATAAGATTTTTGGACTGCTTGCAGAGTTCATATACCCGGCAAGTTGGGTTGGAGATCAAAGGCTGCTATATAGAGCAGCTGAGAGATTGGAGAGATCACTTGATCCACTTCCCACGAGCCGTCTAAAATCCAGCAATCGTCCCCGCAAGAATGTGAACGAACCAATTGTTGCATACGGTCCGCCTGGTTCGAGTGGTGAGCTCAACGTCAGTGTCATTGTCTCACCAGTCCCCCTAGAATTCTCGTGAGTATACTACTATCACTGTTAACAAACTTCCACTGGAATCAATGTGACCCTTAAGGTGACATGAAAATAGAGATGTCAATGAGTGTTTTATAAAGGCATCTTATAATCATGTTCAGATACAGTTTGAGTAGTAAAACTATTATTCATTACAAATTCAATTAAGACTCAGGTAATGATCTTAGGATACCCACTGCCTTGCCCGCCAACATCCCTGAAGATGACAACTAATGGCCTAATGCTTTGCCTTTTGGCATTCATAGAATTGAAACATTCGGAGGGCCAAAAGAGGTGGGAGAAGCTGTGATTCGGACGATCACAGGACAACGCCCTGATGTGAAAGGAACTCTGATAGAATCAACTGTGAGGGAGGATCCTTCCAAGAATGTCAAGTACTACGAGCTGGAATTCAGAGTCGAAAGCCCCTCGTTCCAGAGGCATAATGTTGCCGTTTGTTGTGCTCGTGGGGGTAGGCTCTTCACTCTGAATGCCCAAGCAACAGAATCGGCATGGCCAGAGTTCCAGTCAGCCTTCTATAGAATTGCTAATTCATTTAGTCTTACCACTTGATATTGAGTTTCACTTCAGCTTCTTTCCAGGACCTGTTGGCAGCACAGGAAAAAACAACAGTTGTCGACAGGTTCTGGGATATCAATGTTTTTGTGGGGGAATTGTCGGTCCTTCAGCGGGAATTGGTCGCATAAATATAAACTGATACATTGTCAAGAATCAGATGTCTTAAATCCTTCAAGTACTGTAAGAATTAGAAGTTTACATATAAATACATTTGTACATTGAAATGCCATCAAGCACCCACAATCGGCCACTGGAGAAACTATACTTTCTATATCTAAAATTATAATCACTATACAGAGAATTCAGGCACAGGTTATCTGTCTTCGCTTGGCGACCTTCTCCAGATTTTCAGAAACCGCTGCAGTTAAATTAGGATCCTCGAATCCAAGCTCAGCACCCAGCCTGCAATAGGATAAGATTAGAAACAGTCGACTCAAGCGAAGGGAAAGCAACAAAAGGGAAAATGGAAAAGGTTATGAGTTGGAGAAACATTTTTAGGGGATAATTAAGCTCAGCTATGCCGTTGTCTTTTCCCTTGGCCCCAATACTATCGCAAGACCAAATCCCCTAACTGAATATGCACTTATATCTAAAGGAAAGGTCAAGTGGGAAGGCTCATTCTTTTATCTCAGACTCCAATAAGATCAACATGAAATGATAACACAAAGACCAAGACAAAATTAAGGCTAAATTGACTTACTTTGGATCGAGCACCAATTTTTGGACCTCTTTAATAGCCGAACTAGCTGCATATAATGAGATCTTTCCCACCTGCTTTAACACAATGGGTGACGTTAGTAAACTCACTAGGACAAACAGGTCTAACATACCCGACTCAAATGATTTCAAAAGACTCAAGGAACTTGACAAGCACAGGGAAAGGAAAGCACTGACTACTTCTTGGACTATAAGCCTGACCTCCAAAATTTGAAGTTTTCCATCATGGTCATTTGGAAGACAGCGGATTTCTTCAGCCAATCTGACAGCCTCCCCCACACTTTCGGGAAATAAGAAGTCAAGTCCTAACTGAACAGTGGACTGAAAAATTCAATACAAGGAAATCAGTCAATTGAAGTATAACTATAAGCAAAATAATATACTTCTACACACCAGTGTTGAGTTTATCAAGCTTTTCCAATTCTGCCTACTAATTCAAAAAGGTAAAGATGCATTCAACAAATAAAATCTGGCAGCATTTTTTCTGTTTGGCCAGATTCCATAATGATGGACGACTCAAGGAAGAACTTAATTTGTTCAATAACTTCAAATTAGTTATTGCAAAGATTGGTCCCAAGTTTACAAATCATGAAACCATTCTTGTAAGCAATACCAGGCCAGAATCATCTCTCCCTCAGAAGAATAGACTCAAGGATTAGTTTCCACAGTAATGAACATCATTTTATCCAACAAGGTAAAAGACTATTACATTGGACATACTAGACGACATCAAATGTCACCTTATCTGCAGTATTTACAATAAAATCACAGAACTCATCCAAACATGGAAGGTTACTGATTAGAAGACCCACCTGGAGATTCCTCACTTGGAAAGGGCACCCAGCAGGGACAAAGACAGCTTGCCCCAATTGCTGTTCAAACGACCAAGGCACCACATCTGTTAATAAAAAAAAAACAACTTTTAACACTCAAAAATAAATATTATTATCTATTACATTAATGATTCAATTCTACCGATACAAAGAGAATATTGAAATTGTCACTGGCTTAAAATTACAATAAGGTTTTCTGAAAAAAATTGTGACCCCAACACCTATTTCATCTCCTAGAAAATTGGTCTCTAAACATTTTACAGTAGTAGGTTGTTATCTTATCCATCTTCTTCTGAGCAACCATGAGGGTTTCCTTCTTTTTTCTAGATGACTTGGTTGGCTTACAGAAATTTTGAAAATCACAGCAATATTTTCACTCAATTAGGAATAACACAATCAGAACCGTTCCTGGACAAATTGAATGCTAGTCTGTAAATATGCAACACTTCATCCATGTGCCACAAAAAAGGACAGTTAAACGAACTCCAAGACATACACTCTCTGAAATTGACATCAATTATCCTTACCAAATTCTTCCCTCAACTTTCTCTTATGATGCTCATTCAGGTAAACCACTTCATCATACAGAGGACATATCACCTGAAAATCAAAATAAAGAATCACCAACATGCACTTCTGCACAAGCAAATGTGTTAAAGTGAAGCTTCTACAACTAAGATCATAAACTTACAGAATCACTTATTACACTTTCAGGCTTCCCAGAATCCATCCAGTGCATATGCAAATACTCAATTAACTTTGGAACATCCTGTCGGCGAAAGACATCCCAACAAGCTCCTGCATGAGTCTTTCCCAGAACATCCCTTCTATCCCCATTTAACTGTTCAAAATCCACAGATTTCTCCCCAACCACAGTGGTTTCAGCTCCTTGATCATCCATTTTCTCATCCTCATGTACAGCAGATGTGCTCTCATATTCATCATTCATATCAGTTCCATCAAGTGATAAATCAGGTAACCCTTTCTCATCTGACCTTGTTTCAGGATCCCCCAAAGACTCATTTACCTCAGATTCCCCATTGGAATTTTGCATGTCCTCCATTTTTGTCTTCTGACCTTTAGCATTCACGTCACATGTATGTACCAACAAGTAAACCTGACAAACACCTCATCTTTCAGTTCATACACTTTACCACAGAATATACAGATTTAATTTTAATGCTTAAGAAAAAGAGTTAAAGGTTATTCAGACTTTGTTCATGAATCATTAATAATTGAATCCATTGTCTCTTTCATTTTAAGGATCTAAGATGGTATTACAAACATACAAGTTTTAATCTTGCATGTATACCTGAGTAATAGAGTAGAAATAGCAAAAGATAATGCAAAGAATGAAAGCCTAAATGCTATTCAAGCATTAATTTCCAGTATAGGACCCATAGATTTAATCCTTTGATGCACTTTAAGACATATAAGAACAATATACACATAGAAAGCTGCAGTTCCAAAGTATCCTTCTATTAAGAAAGCAAGCATCCGTAAACTAATATTGACCACAATAGTTAATGAAAAAAGAATTTCATTTTTTTTTAATTTATGCAATTAAATTAGTCAAGAATGGGGAAAAAGCAACTTACCATGTCACGCATTTTGAAATGGAGATTGGTTACTGAATCCCCTCTACCAAGTTCTTCATAGGTCCCATACGATATATAAATCTTAGGTCCTACATCATTTTGCAAGGAATAATGGGGCAATTTTGCAGCAACATTTAGAAGACCCAACCTGGAATGAATGTACTCAAGTAAAGGAAGTTTACTGATAAACTCAGGTCTCTGGTACATTAAAAACTCTTCAGAAGCACCGGGAGAAGGCCAATCTTTCAACTTCAACATTTCCAGCCAACCATTTTCATTATAACTTCCCTCCGTGTATCCTTTGATGAATTGACCGAGTTCAATATCAACCTGACAATATGTTAAATCAGACCCACAGCTATAAAAGCATGTAACACATTATATCAATTAAATTACTGAGAAATCAAGATCACACACGTATAAGCGGTAGCATTGAGAACGCACCTCAGACCAGTCTAAGCAATCTACTGCCTTTACCATTCTGCTCTCATCTTTTATTTTCTCATCCACATTCTCCTGAATTCCTCTCCGTATAGACACTGGATCCCAACTTGACATGGATGAGACATCACATACCTCCTTGACAATCACAGGTTCACCATTGCCCCAACGCTTTCTAAAATCTGCAATCCCTTCTGCTTTAAGATCTTGAGACGACGGAAAGTATAAAAGATTATCATCACTAGGCTCTCTGTCAGCAAATTGACAGAGTGTGGGATCATTTGATTCCGTCTTTTCTGAACTTTCAACATCATAAACCTTACAGCCACTAACCATTTCCTCAACATTCTTTACCAGTTTTGCAACCCAATTCATCTTAAAAATACGGTTTAAGTTCAATGAGTAATGACCACAGCCACCATACTCCATTGGAGGACATGGAATACCGTCATCACTGTTGGCTTTCCAGCCAGAGAACTTATCCAAGAAATTCAGTTTCAATTCAGATACTTCTCCCATAGCAGTTTCTTTGTCTAGAGTTCTCTCACCAGTCTCATTTCCTACATCTTCAACGCCACCTGAAGATGCTCTCCGAAGATCTTGACAGCAACGGAGGCAAAGATCATACGAGCAATTTGCACAATGCCGATGATAATCAATAATAGGTATCCTACAGAAATTGCTGCAAAAAGAGAAAGTTATGAACCATAAGCCCTTGGAACAACAGGAATGATTATGCGCTAGCCATACTTTCGCACATCTAATTAGTAAACCTCGTCAAAAGTACAGAAAAATCAACCTATTAAACTAACCACATTAAGTGAAACTAATTTAAAATAGCTAGTAAATGTTAGCTACCAGCACATCTGCTCATCTGCATTCACCTTTGCCCTAACAAGATCTATTGCAGTTCCTGAAAAACATATATAAATAACAATGGTTACCTAATCACATATATTCTCTGCAGAAACTTGAGTTCAAACACCATTTAATTAACAAGCATCTTACCATGAAGTCTTTTTTCCAATTCCACTTCAGAACACTGTTCCTGGTGGATCTTCTTAACAACAGGAAGCACCGAAGACAATAGACCATAGTGATACTGTAACTTGTCCAGGACAGGTATTTCCCGTATCCTTACCTGCACTCAGTGAAAGTAAATTATTCTTCAACAAAGTAGACAATTACACTGTACAAAAGTAGTGTATATTATTTAGATATGCAAACCCTTTAATTAGAGAAGAAAATACCTTTATCATGTTATCACCTCGTAAACATGCCTTACAATTACAGGAACCACGACATGCAGGACAAGCCTTCTCAATTTCTTCCAAAGGGATGTTTGAGTACCTGTAAGTGAAGTATAAATACTTGCTCACAAACTGAAATGTGGGCACGTTTACCTCAAAGTTCAACTCACCATGTAGAGATACAG